ATTCAAAGATAGCAAGCTAATTTCTCACATTTTAAAGAATCAAACCAGTATAGTTAGGTCTAAGATTCTTGAATTCTCATGAAAATACAATGTCTAACATCTTCTATGAATCTATCGATATTTGGCCACGGTTGTAGTGTATTAATCTGAAAGTTAAACCTTATTAACCTGAATTATCCCTTATTAACCTAGGTAAACCTAGTGTGTTGTAATCATGACCTGGAAGTGAATATTTCGAATATTGAATCTGTTTGTCCACTAGTACTATAATCTAGTGCCATCCATGTCTGAACTGTTCAACAGTAATGATGGCATATAAATGTGAGATACAAATTTATTTGAATTCTGATGGTAAGATCCATTCAGGCATGATGCAATCGCATGTACCCCCACCACACCAGAGGTTGTTTGCTGCAATGTATGTACTACAACAAGCTTCCATTGCAAGAGTTCCTTTTGTACCCCCCATCCCTAACCCTAAATCTAACACTCACTCCCAGTTACCCAATTCATTTCGTATATGCCCCCTCTAGATAACTATAGATGTCCTTAGGTGGGGCATGTACAATTAAATGGGGAGTGCAGGAGGGTAGGGGTAGGGGTAGGGGTAGGGGTAGGGATGGGGGATACACAAGGAACTCTTTTGCTTCCATTTCCTCAAAAACCTTGTGTAATTTATTGAAGCATACTTACCACATACATACTGTTTACATTCAGTGGATTGTAAACATACTTGTTTGTGTGATATACATTGTTCATCCGATAAGCATGGATTGGGATGACAAGAGTCCTTGGATATACACGTACCAATCTCAAAATAGTTATCATCAAAACCAATGCATCTAAAGAAACAAGGAATGAAATAACAAACATACAACACTTAAGTAGGAACAAGCATTAAATTAGATTTATAGAAATCCAAATGAGTTGATCAGCCCACACATCCATTTCGTAATTCCTCACACATAATTCATAACAGCGAAAGTCACTTTATGTGCTCTTGTGTAACTGTCATTCGAGTTTATAAATAATTTATAATATGTTACATGTTTTAGTTAACTTCAGTGTAATGCCCGCTTTTCATAAACATGTTATACACGCAATACTGCTACATTTCAAAGCATATAAATCTCTTGAAAATAATAAAAATTGTTTTGTGTGTGTGTGTTTTTTATCCCAAATTAACAAGAAATGAAATAACTAAGCAAAACTTAGGAACAGGCATTAAATTAGTTTTATTAAAATCCAAATGAGTTGATCAGCGCCTCCATTTCGTAATTGCTCACACATAATTCAGAACAGCCAAGATCACTCATGAGCTTTTAAGAATGTGTAACCACCATTCAAGTTTATATATTTATAACATACATGTTTTAGCTAACTTCAGTGTAATGACCACTTTTGATAAGCATGTTATACATACAACATTGCTACATTTAAAGTATAAGTGTGTGTTTTTTTTATCCCAAATTATGATGAAAATGGTTAAAAAAAATTCTTCTTTCACTTTATTTATTTGCAGATTTGTTTTTTCATATTCACTATCTTTCAATTTTCCACCCCGAAAAGATTCTAAAGTTCAACCCCTTAATCTACAGAAAAAAATTTATGTATGGTACTTTACCAAGCAAAAAATTATTTGGATTTATAACATCACCTATCTATGTACATTATAGCTACAAGTCATTGAAATATTTTGTAGGGAACTTACTTTGCAATTTGTGCATTTGGATATGTCCTACCATTCACAGCGCAGACAGGTAAAAAATCATCGGCACTATCACATGGTAGACCTGTAAATCGTCTTCTTTCTTCCGCAGTGCTTTCATCAGATAAACACTGCCTTAGTGAACAGATCAACTCACCAGCATAACAAGAACATGTATTGCAATCCACATGGAAGTGAGTGTGGTGATCTGAAAAAAAACGATTGCAGTTTTATGAATGAAATTAAAACCTGTGTATTATCAGTATCAAAACTAACATTTCCTTGCAAAATACACAAAATGGGAATAAATATTAAACAAAGCCTCAGTTGTTTGCTCTATTTGAAGCACATCTCAAATTAAAGAGCACATAAACCAACAAAAACAGCATTTATTATATACTTGATCATTAAAATATAATTTTATATTATAGCACACCTGCCATTTATGTTACTAATAAAATAAAATAGGGTATTTTGAAGTTATTAAAGGATTTTGATCATAAAATAAATATTCAATAAACCAATACCATATCTGATAATATTAACTCATCCTTTTCATATTATGGCAGATCACAGATTTTACAGTGACACTACAAAATTATTCAGTTGTAAAAAGCAAACTCATATTGATTGTTCTGTTTTCGGTGGGTTCATATATTACAAGATCTCGCCAAGCTCCAGTGAGCTTGATATCATCCTTGTCAAATGAGGATTATTTATTATATGTAATAATGCACGTTTGGACTGACTGTGCTCTGATTTATACTACAAGGTAAACAGTTGGTGCGATGAATCAAACCCAGATGCAAGGTGAACATGTGCCAGCGTGTCAGTTTTTGAGGATCCATCAATTGGTGACATACCTTTAATTTGTCCACCTTCTTTACAAGGTTGTGTTGAAATACATTTCATTGCCTGACAGTCTTCTAATATGTTACTATGCCCACATTTGCAAACTTTATAACAGGCCTGATCCATTGATGGTGCATCAGCAATATTCACAAAACTGCCTTGTGGAACCAAGAAATCAGATCCATCACCAAGTTTACAACCTAGAAAAATACAACATTGATTTGAGTAGGCACCCTTTTCCACCAATGCGAACTCACTGGGCATCAATGTAAACTCACTGGGCACCAGTGTAAACTCGCTGGGCACCAGTGTAAACTCGCTGGGCACCAGTGTAAACTCGCTGGGCACCAGTGTAAACTCGCTGGGCACCAGTGTAAACTCGCTGGGCACTAATGTAAACTCGCTGGGCACTAATGTAAACTCGCTGGGCACCAGTGCAAACTCACTGGGCACCAGTGCAAACTCACTGGGCACCAATGCAAACTCACTGGGCACCAATGCAAACTCACTGGGCACCAATGCAAACTCACTAGGCACCAATGCAAACTCACTAGACACCAATGCAAACTCACTAGACACCAATGCAAACTCACTAGGCACCAATGCAAACTCACTAGGCACCAATGCAAACTCACTAGGCACCAATGCAAACTCACTAGGCACCAATGCGAACTCACTAGGCACCAATGCAAACTCACTAGGCACCAATGCAAACTCACTAGGCACCAATGCAAACTCACTAGGCACCAATGCAAACTCACTAGGCACCAATGCAAACTCACTGGTCACCGATGCAAACTCACTGGTCACCAATGCAAACTCACTAGGTACCAGTGCAAACTCACTAGGTACCAGTGCAAACTCACTAGGTATCAGTGCAAACTCACTAGGCACCAATGCAAACTCACTGGGTGCCAATGCAAACTCACTGGACACCAATGTAAACTCACTGGACACCAATGTAAACTCACTGGACACCAATGTAAACTCACTGGACACCAATGCAAACTCACTAGACACCAATGCAAACTCACTGGGCACCAATGCAAACTCACTGGGCACCAATGCAAACTCACTAGACACCAATGTAAACTCACTGGGCACCAGTGCAAACTCACTGGGCACCAATGCAAACTCACTGGGCACCAATGCAAACTCACTGGACACCAATGCAAACTCACTAGACACCAATGTAAACTCACTGGGCACCAGTGCAAACTCACTGGGCACCAGTGCAAACTCACTGGGCACCAGTGCAAACTCACTGGGCACCAATGCAAACTCACTGGGCACCAATGCAAACTCACTGGACACCAATGCAAACTCACTAGACACCAATGTAAACTCACTGGGCACCAGTGCAAACTCACTGGGCACCAGTGCAAACTTACTGGGCACCAGTGCAAACTCACTGGGCACCAGTGCAAACTTACTGGGCACCAATGCAAACTCACTGGGCACCAATGCAAACTCACTGGGCACCAGTGCATACTAGCATCTTGTAAACGTCGCTCGGCTATTGGCTTTGTGACATTTACAAGATAAGTGTGGCCGTTAGACTTAAAACAGTTTGGCTACTTTAGTTATTACTATAGCAATGATGAACACAATAGATGCAATTATAATATTAGTGTTATGTAAACTAACCATATGACTACTGTAAAATACTTTACTTTCGATTGGAATTAATTTTCACTATTTTCCCTGAAGGTATGATTTAGTGAAAATAAAATCCAGTGAATAAACCTTGTTTCCTATATTTTACATTCAACTCACACAAAAAAAAAAAATCAGTGAAAATAAATTCCATACAAAACACCCAAAAAGTCTTTTCAGCGAAAATTAATTCCAGCTAAAATAAAGTATTTTACAGTATTTCATGAGAAGAATCCTTCATAGTAACTAAACTAGTGATGTATATCCGTATATTGTACCCAAATTTGAAATCTGACAGCTTACCTTCGTGGCACATATAATCAAGACATACATCATTATAACTGCAGGATCCCCGGTTGATACTACATAGTTCATGTAAAGATAAACTTTCATTTTTGCAGGGATTATTATGGCATGGAATTGAGACTTCATGCATTCTTGCTCCATGACTACTTGGTTCTGAAATAAACATCAATGCTATTACACAACAGTACTTGATAGTAATATGGTATAATGTGATTATATGTAGTGTATATAATATAATGTTCTGTATGATAGAATGTATAATGTGATTACACCACTGTAATTTGTAGTGTTGTATGGTATAATGTGATTACACCACTGTAATTTGTAGTGTTGTATGGTATAATGTGATTACACCATTGTGTTTTTTTGTATTGTTGTATGGTATAAGAGGTTACACCATTGAGTTCTTTTTAGTGTTGTATGGTATAATGTGATTATACCATTGTGTTTTTTGTATTGATGTATGGTATAAGAGGTTACACACCATTGAGTTCTTTTTAGTGTTGTATTGTATAATGTGATTACACCATTATGCTTTTTGTATTGTTGTATGGTATAAGAGGTTATACCATCGAGTTCTTTTTAGTGTTATTATGGTATAATGTGATTACACCATTGGGTCTTTGTAGTATTGTATGTGGTTATACCATTGAGTTCTTTTTAGTGTTGTATGGTATAATGTGATTACACCATTGTGTTTTTTGTATTGATGTATGGTATAAGAGGTTACACACCATTGAGTTCTTTTTAGTGTTGTATTGTATTGTATAATGTGATTACACCATTGTGTTTTTTGTATTGTTGTATGATATAAGAGGTTACACCATTGAGTTCTTTTTAGTGTTATATGGTATAATGTGATTACACCATTGTGTTTTTTGTATTGTTGTATGATATAAGAGGTTACACCATTGAGTTCTTTTTAGTGTTATTATGGTATAATGTGATTACACCATTGGGTCTTTGTAGTATTGTATGTGGTTATACCATTGAGTTCTTTTTAGTGTTGTATGGTATAATGTGATTACACCATTGTGTTTTTTGTATTGTTGTATGGTATAAGAGGTTACACACCATTGAGTTCTTTTTAGTGTTGTATTGTATAATGTGATTACACCATTGTGTTTTTTGTATTGTTGTATGATATAAGAGGTTATACCATCGAGTTCTTTTTAGTGTTATTATGGTATAATGTGATTACACCATTGGGTCTTTGTAGTATTGTATGTGGTTATACCATTGAGTTCTTTTTAGTGTTGTATGGTATAATGTGATTACACCATTGTGTTTTTTGTATTGTTGTATGGTATAAGAGGTTAAACCATTGAGTTCTATTTAGTGTTGTATGGTATAATGTGATTACACCAGTGTGTTTTTGTAGAGTTGTATGGTATAATGTGATTACACCATTGTGTTCTCTTTAGTGTTCTATGGTATAACCAGATTACATCACTATGTGTTTTGTAGTGTTGTATAGTATAATGTGATTACACCACTATGTATTTTGTAGTGTTGTATAGTATAATATGACAATGTTGTTTGTAATGACAACATTTTGTGTAACTTTCTGATTTTCAGTGACATTCACAATTTGTGAAATCAAGACATTTATTCATGCAAGTACCTAGATATTGGCTCAATGATATACAGGGTGTTGTCTCATCATTAGGAGACAGCATTGTACATAAACTTTCTGCCGTTTCATCTCTCTTTAGCCTTGAGACATCTAAACACTTTCCAAGTATTGCAATACAGTCTGACCTATAAGATGAAAAAACAATTCATCAATGATCTCATTTTGGTTTATAGATGGAAATAAATTCAAGTTTTATAAAGCTCAAAATAACTGAGTTATCACATTGACAATATGAAAACAAAAGTCTTCTTTCACAATAGATACTTGACTAATTTTATTCTAATATTTCTTCTAAAAACAATGATATTAAAAAAGATATTATAGAAAATTATGTATATTACATATACAATGAAAACAAAATGACTTTCTGATTTCCATACACTAATTTTCTAATAAGTCACCCCCCATCACCATCATAGCAAAAGTAAATACACTATTTCATATTTTTTTTCTTCATAATTTTGAATCCAAATCAATGAATCTATATAAAAATTGTCATATCCAAGAGCTTTGGCTTTTTTTGATTACAGAAATCAAAATAAACAACTGGCAATAATTGTTTCTAGGAATATTGCGATGCTGCAAGGGAGATTTGATAATGCAATAATGGTTTTCCTGATCAGTTTATTTTGGCGACAGGTTACACTGTAACTAGGAATACTTTCCATCAAAACACATACTCTAGAAGGATTAATTATTCACTGGGTTTTAATTTTGCTTATTTCGCTGACTGGAAAATGCGCTAAATTAAAACCTAGTGAATATGTCAAATTTAGCAAAGAACACATTATCTAAATGATAAAACCGTGAATTTATAACCCACTGAATATGCCTGAAATGGTAAATCAGCGAAATTTAAACCCAGTGAAAATTAGTCATTTTACAGTATACTTACTTGCATATCATGTTAACATGGGATTTACTATGGCATGGCTTTATTTGTAATGTACACGCAATAGCTTTCCACATTGCAGGTTCACAGGAATTAATATCTAGTACTGGAATATCTAAAAATGGCATTTCAATTTTGCCATTCTGCCACAAATTAATATCATCCTCAGCTCCTCGATCAGATCTTGCCGTACAACTTCGGAAAAAATCTGTTGGTCTGAAAAGCAGGGGGGAAAAATGCATTTTGTGGTATATAATTATACATTATCAGCCAAGTTCCACATAATGTGTGATTGGTGATTCCTTAAATGAATACATAGAGAGAAAAAGCACAAACATTGTACAAACAGCAAAGCTAGTGGGCAAATTCTAAGAAAATTGCTGTGAATCACAAATACTGAGTAAGACGCTGTATTTATATTCTGTTTACGAAAGCTAAAATATCAAAACATCAACATAATTCTATCACAACTACTAGTATTGCTGGTATGTAATATGCAAATCATGTCATTAATATGTGCAGAATATTCACAAATTCACTATTAAATATAACATAGGTCTAACTGTAATGACTTACCTTCCATTGAAATTACTGCAATAATTTAAACCACTGCACCCTAACTGACATGGCTCTTGTACTGTGTGAGAAGTAAAAAGAAGGTTCAACTGATGGTGTGCTTAGTTGCATACAAAGTTTCAAATCAAACCCTTGTGGTGTAAATATAACAGAAGGGAACGTCTAAGATTGAGACACATGAAATATAACATAGCGTAACCATTACAAACTTTTCCATAGAGAAACTAGGACGAACAGAAACTAGACCGATTATTATGTGTTCATTACACTAGGGAATATCAGGCTCCGATATTTGTTTTCTCAAATATACAGTCAAGATAAAGATGGTCATTTGTCACCAACAAATTAGCTAACCCACACCATGTGTAATGTTGCAACATCTCATGGAAGAGTTGAAGCTAGAACTTTTATTTAAATTTAGTTAAAATGATTAAAAATATTGAATAATTGTGCATATAAACTATCTTGTGGATCTTACCATCAGCCAGACACTGTAATAAGTTTGTCTCAGCAGGTTGATACTGGCAATGCTCGTCAAATTCATTTGAATTAGCTCCATTTTGTGTATATAACTGCAAAATATAATGACAAAATTCTTTTATATTATCGGTAATTAAAATTGACACAAAGAAAACGTGAGTCATTCAATTGGAGGAGAGGAAACAAAATTATTTTTGTATTCTGAGAGTCAAAATCATAAGAAACTATGAAAAATGCAGACTAGAAACTAGACAGTGAAAGTAAAACATTGTACACATGATAAAAATGTACAGGTAATGTACAAAATGTACAGGTAATGTACAAAATGTACATGAAGATACATAAAAAAAAAAGTGAACTAAACTAATATAGGGGTTAGTGTTTTGCTTTTGATAGGAGGTGGGTCAGCATTGTTTACAATTGACTTGCGTTTCGCATGCATCAGTTTTTTTTTTTTGACCGTTGCACAAGAAATTTTTTTGCAGCAGTAAAACTTTCGCTGTGCTTCTTTAAGAAACAAGTTCATAGCAATATTTGCAAAATTATGTTGAACGCCATTAATTAAAATCTTCAAATTTAAACTAAACTGAATTACAGATGCGATACTAATGGTAGAAAAAGTCATATACAAACCTTTACACACAAGTCTCGACACGTGTGAGAAAATGCTTTAAAACAGCATTCCAAGTGAGCACCATCTAATGCTGAATTTGTTAATAAACCATTATCTTCTTCTTGATCATTATTTCCTGAGAATCAAACAATTACATGAATATATTGTACACAAAGAAGGAGGTAATCAGAGACGAAGCAAGTGTCAAGGGTTGCAAACTTTGGAGAACAACAAGTTCTTCCTCAATTTACGACAAAAAGATGATGACGAAAAGCAAGTAGGATGAAGTTCATTTATATTGTGGATTCAGTTGGAAGTGAACTGTTAAAGCACATTAAGATAATTTATTCACAGTCATGTGATATCTATTGATTTAATGCCCACCTCCAACCCCAGATAAATATTTTTCTGTTATTGCACAAGTTGACAAGTGTTCATCATCTCAAAGTACGCCCTCTATGGCAAGAATGACAACTGTGTCTTAAACATTCGGATGTCATCACAATTTGTGTAATTTTTTTTATAATTTCTTTGTTTAATCTAAATAAATGTATTTTGATAAAATATAGAAATCAATAGAACCTTAAACAAGCTTACATGCAATGAAGACAAATGTGGAAAATATTACAAAATATGAAAAATATGAATGAATTGAAACCCACGATGGATTTACCAAAATGTTTATATTTATTTATTAAGCCCAAAATCAATAACTGATAAAAAAAAAAATTCCCTTTAGTGCAAGTTAGAAAAGCATGCCAATTACTTTATAATAATAATTTTGTTAAACAATATAGTATATTTTGAGATTATGGTGATGCACTCCACATTTCGGCATTCAAAGGGTTTAATTCTCAAATTACCAATTAAAACAATAAATTGACAAGTCCTTACCTGAATTCCAAAGAAAACATTTCCACAATGGATTCTGTGGTAGCGGTAAACCACATGTTTGCGTTAAACCATCCATGATGTCACTATCCCTAGACATTGTTTGTAGAACGTTACGACACGTGTCCTTGCATGCTACATCGCTAGCATACTCACAACAATGTAAACCTGAAATATATAAAATAGAAATCATTAAGAGAAAATGAAATTTTAGTTTTCAATAAATAATTATATATTCGTTATAGAATCTAACCATTGGGATTGACATTTTAAAGTAAAGCAATTTTGTAATTTTTTTATAATTGTAAAGATTATTACAAAATGTTAACTGAAAACATACAATGAATGATATCAGTCTTAGATCATAATATCTGAATTTTCATATACCAAAAATTGTACTTTATATTAAAATTGCCTGTTCATTTGACAATTTGGAAATTAAACAACAGTTTCATTCGATGATGTGCATAATTAGTAGAATAAATTACTTCAAGATTTTTTAAAATAAAACTGTTATTCTTGGCCCATCATAACAAAGGTATTCACACTGAAGGAAAGTATGGTCATTTGGCCAATCTTGATATCCTAAATACACCTGTCCACAGAAAAAGGAATTTCTTCATTAACCTGTACCAGTTTGAACAACTTAAAAATGAAACGAACTAAACTGAAAAAAATCTTACTTTCTGTAGGGTCTCTGACAGGTAAAGATGTTGTGTAATTATGCACACATTGCTGAACTTGTACGTAACCTTCACCTCCTCCGCAATATCTGTTAATTGTCAACTCATCTTCTGAACTTGGGTTATCTAATTCATATATCATAAGGCATTTACTTCGACAATATGAACCAGCTGGTGCCTGACTACAACAACTTTGTTGACCTAAAAAACATAGCAAAGAGAAATGATTTTACGGCACTTGATAATCAAATTGATTATTTTTCATAGTTTTCATTCTTTTATTATTATAGGTTAATGCGAGTAGCACACCAAAAATGAAAAACAAAATTAGGGTTACTGGACCATTTTTTCGAGAAACAAGAGTATGTCATTATAAAACTACTGTAAAAGGATTAATTATTCACTGGGTTTTAATTTTGCTTATTTCGCTGACTGGAAAATGCGCTAAATTAAAACCCAGTTAATATTATATAATAGCATAAAACACATTATCTAAATAATAAAACTGAATATAAAACCCACTAAATATGCCTGAAATGGTAAATTAGCGAAATTTGAACCCAGTGAAAATTAGTCATTTTACAGTATGACCTTTGTTTGTCCCATTTCAACGTTGGATTTCATGCATAACATGGAAAAATGCAATGAACAGAAAATGGTCTGTTGAACCATCCCAAGCATCTACTGTGAAAACATGTCAGGCAATTTAATCTTGCCCTCTATTTTGGAAAAGCTGAGTGTTACTTACTTTCATATCTGGCAAGACAATCAAAGATGGCTCCCTGTAATCAAAATGAAAGTCCACAATGAGCAAATTACAAAACTCCAACTGTAGAGGGCGCACTAGTAGCGAGATACAAACCGCATGCTATCACTAATAGCACTAATGGTAAATAGGATACCTACTCTATTCATAACCAAAGGGGATAGCCAGTAAGACTAATTTAGTAATTTCAGTTTTGTACATTATACTAAACTCGATTCAATACGAAAACAAAAATTACATGAAACTAAATTACCTAATTTATTATGTATGAGATGGGCATATGGAATTTCATGCTACCCCATGGGCTTTCTATATGAAATATACAATTAAATGCCATTACTAACCTCAATACCAACTGAACAAGAATCCATAATATCTGCTGTTGATAAAGCCTAATTGTAAACAAATGAAATAAATATAGTAAATTTTTAAAATTTTTATTACACTGTAAAATCTCTTGAGTTTTAGACAAGATACATTAATTAACACGAGTCTAGAAAGATTGCATATTTAACATATTGAAGTATACCCATGTTGGAACTGGTAAATAATAAAGTGTATACGGATTGAAACTGGTAAATAATAGAGTGCATACTAAATGAAACAGGTAATAATGGAGTCCAGCCTAGTTTAAACTGGTAAATAATGTAGTACATTCAGGTTTAAACCGGTAAATAATGTAGTATATTTGGATTTAAATTGTAAATAATGCAGTATACTTGGGTTTAAATTGGTAAACATGCAGTATACTGTTTAAACTTTTAAAAAAGTGTATTCCTGGTTGAAAATGTCTGTAAATAGTGTAGCATGGTTAAAACAAGAAACATTTTGACGAATAATCAGTTTCTTGACAGTTGTTTATGTTTATATAGTGCATCAAGGAATTCAAAACACTACTGCATCTCCCAGGTGGTCTAGGTTCCCCTAGGAGTATGAGAACTACTGCATCACACAGATTGTATAGGCTCCCCTAGGTGCATGAAAACTACTATATCACCCAGGTGGTATAGATTCCCCTAGGTGCATGAGAACTACATAACTTAGGTGGTCTAGGTTCCCCTAGGAGTATGAGAACTACTGCATCACACAGATTGTATAGGCTCCCCTAGGTACATGAAAACTACTACATCACCCAGGTGGTATAGGTTCCCCTAGGTGCATGAGAACTACTACATAACTTAGGTGGTCTAGGTTCCCCTAGGAGTATGAGAACTACTGCATTACACAGGTTGTATAGGCTCCCCTAGGTGTATGGGAACTACTACATCACATAGGTGGTCTACATGTAGGTTCCCCTAGGAGTATGAGAACTACTGCATCACACAGGTTGTATAGGCTCCCCTAGAAGCATGTGAGCTACTACATAACTTAGGTGGTCTAGGTTCCCCAAGGACTATGAGAACTACTACATCACACAGGTTGTATAGGCTCCCCTAGGTGTATGGGAACTACTGCATCGCCCAGGTGGTCTAGGTTCCCCTAGGTGCATGGGAACTACTGCATCACCCAGGTGGTATAGGTTTTCCTAGGAGTATGGGAACTACTACATCACACAGGTTGTATAGGCTCCCCTAGGTGTATGGGAACTACTGCATCGCCCAGGTGGTCTAGGTTCCCCTAGGTGCATGGGAACTACTGCATCACTTAGGTGGTATAGGTTCCCCTAGGAATACGAGAACTACTGAATCACCTCGGTGGTATAGGTTCCCCTAGAAGTTTGAGAACTACTGCATCACTTAGGTGGTCTAGGTTCCCCTAGGTGCACGGGAACTGCTGCATCACCTAGATAGTATAGGTTACCCAAGGAGCATGAAAACTACTATATCACTTAGGTGGTCTAGGTTCCCCTATGAGCATGAAAACTACTGCATAATGCAGGGTATATAGCTTCCCCTAGGAGTATGAGAACTACTGCATCACCCAGGTGCATAATGCAAGGTATAAAAGTTTCCCCCAGAAGCAATCACTGTTCTGCACTCAATATTGAACACTGAATAAAGCACACACTATGGACATAAATGCCAATAAACTGCCTTTACAATTATTTGATTGGTTTTTCACTACATTCAATCATGAGTAAAATCATCTATCTATTCATTTGAGAACGTGACAGACACGAGTCACTGCATGACGAGCTACAGAGATAATTAGTGGAATGTCTGGCCACAAATTGACTCCATATATGTGAAAAATGGAGACATTTATTTGCATAAAAAACATGAAGGAACATATGTGGAACAGAAACCAAAAATGCTAGCAAGATGTCTGTCAAAATTGGCTTTATTATGATGATTATTTCCAAAGTGTTTATTTTGATTTCCTGTTTATTTACATCAGTCCACAGAGTCTAGATTTTTAACTGCATCCAACAAGGCAGGTCAAACCGAGTCCAGCATTTAAAGTTGTTGTATGTGAAAATATGTGTTGCTTGATGGTTGACTAGTTGACTGTTCAATGGTTTGCTATTATTTACGTTAAGTTGTAAATTGTAACAAGGATTCATAAAATGAGAGTATACTAATGAGTGATATGTGCTGAAGAACCAGCAAATTGAGAGATGATCACAAAATCCACATTTCTGAAAATGTTAATACAAATTATTGAGTCTATAAAAGAACAGATTCATGTTAATTAATCTGGTAATGTCCTGTAAATCGAAAAGCGAGTAATACGCGAGTTTTGGGTTTTTGAATACAGTGATAATCTCACTAATTTCTGTTTATGAAATCAAACTTTTTAATGTGTTCACTGAATTCTGTGATGTGATTGGTTAGAATTGAAGCGTACGGAACAAGGTTGCTTTTAAACGCTCACAAAGTGCAAGAGCTCTATCCTTATTAGATCTTAATACCATACATGGTTATAAAATCTGCATAACCATATTTTATAAATCTTTGCTATTATTGGTATGAAGGTGTATTAATATAAGATAATTAAAATGATAATTTGAAGTTTCTGTTTTAGTTTCAAGGTGTTACAGAAAACAACCTGCTGAAATGTTGTACTAGTGTAACAAAATGTGAACACTAACATTTTACAGTATGCTGTAAGGTCAATGGGGTGTCTGATTTTATGAGGCAATAATCACTGGATTATTCTCGGAACTGGGATACGTCACAAAACGTTCTATGTTGCTTAGACTTGCACCACTGTATCATGTATTTTTATGGGCTCTGTTCAAACTGCTGTGGCATGCCAGTTGGAGCTGGTGAGAACAGCTAAAGTCAAGAAAACAGCACTAACTAAACTTTGAGACAATCCTGAAAAATTTGTATATGTTACACATGTAGGGGTAATAATGTTACACTGTTCAAGAGAGTCTTAACAGGTAGCCCAAAGTTTCTTACAACTGTCGTTACCAGATGGTGAAAATGATTGGATGTTTGTTCGCAAGAATAGAGCGTTCTGCGGTTGATAATCTACCATGCAAATTTGCAAGGATATACTTCAGTTCAGTCATATTAAAGCGGGAGGATCGTCACCTGCGCACGCACAGGAATCGAGTCCCAAGCGACAATTCACGCTAAAAACGCAAAGGCTCATGGGTAGACGCTTGTTTGTAAACAATGACACGCTATGGCCATCTGATGCATTCACAGTGACGACTCCCCCGCTTTAATATTTATAGTAGTCAACAGGGTTTAAAGCCAAAAATTAGAAAGTATCTGTCGAAAAACAATATCAAAATGAAAGACACCAGTCCTGAGTCTGTAACCACAGACTTACAAGTGATTTTTTTATTAACTATTTTTGTAATTTACTGGTAATTTGTAGAAATTTTGCCTGTCAATTCCAATTTTATACCTGTCTAAAATGACAGGTATACAGAGGTTGACAAAACGCAAAATATTCACAGAATATATAACAAATCTTCTTTTATTCATGTATGAATGATAAAAAGGAAAAATATTTAAAATTTCGGTCATGTTGCTATAAATACTTATTGTGCAGTTCACACTCTAGGTACTACAAACATAGAAATGTTACAAACCATTTAATTTTCAATGCTTAGAAATGATGCAATTTAGAGATTGGAAGATGAGATGCACCTTTTGAACCATGTTTTCAAATGAGCTGATAGACATGAAGATGACATTTAAGAGATGTCATGTTATATATATTTAGAAATGTGGCTATGACAGCTTTTCAAATATGCTGTTATGGGCTTCGTTTTCGCCTTAAAAGCAGCATTTTTGATCAAAATCATGAAAAATAAATTATGAAAACTTTATAACAGATTTTGTACTAGCTGGTGTTACTCAAAATATCTTTTCACAAAGATAACAAGCAGCCTCTCGGCTGAGATAGCTCCGCTGTTAGCACTGCACATTTCAATTAAAGAACAGAAAATATCATTAGAAAATGAACAATATGCATAGTATCAATGCAATGGGACTTGCTGTTTTCAACAAGAATTCAAAAATATTATTTTTCACTATAAATGATTGTGGTTTTTAACAAGAAGTCGAATATATCACTTTTTACCAAAAATGACAAAAATATTCACCAAAATTAGAGAATTGAAGATATCATCATGAAATGAACAAATTTGAGAGTGGTTCACATGTAGCACCTATATATTTAATATCAAAGCAATTGGACTTGTGGTTTTTAACAAGAAGTCAAAAATATCACTTTTTACCAAAAATGACAAAAATATTCACTAAAATTAGAAAATTAAAGATATCATTACAAAATGAACAAATCTAAGAGAGGTCCACATGTAGTACCTATATATGTAATATCAAAGCAATTGGACTTGCGGTTTTTAACAAGAAGTCGAAAATATCACTTTTTACCAAAAATGACAAAAATATTCACCAAAATTAGAGAATTGAAGATATGATCATGAAATGAACAAATCTGAGAGAGGTCCACATGTAGTACCGATATATGTAATATCAAAGCAATTGGACTTGCGTTTTTTAACAAGATTTCGAAAATATTACTTTTTACCAAAAATGACAAAAATATTCACCAAAATTAGAGAATTGAAGATATGATCATGAAATGAACAAATCTGAGAGAGGTCTACCCAAGGTACATATACATCAAGTATCAAAGCATTCAGGCTTGTAGTTTTCAAGAAGAAGTCGAAAAAGTAAAACATTGACACGGACGACGACGACGAACGACGGACACTCATATGATAAGCTCCGCTCGACAAAGTCGACAGCGAAGCTAAAAATGGAGTTGGGATAAGTTTGTATTCTTTGTTCAAAAAAAATATTTTGCATAAATTAGACATTTATGTTTGTTATATATTCATTCCTATAATTCTGCGTAAAAATGCAAACACTGTTCTGAGGAGAAACAGAAGACGATTTGAAAATTTTGAAAGCTTTTCAAATTGAATTTCTTGATGAGTGCCCAGAAATAATCAGAGATATTTGCTAATTTACACAATTTATCTCCATCTTTATGCCAAAATTGCCATATACATGTATGGTACTATTTTCAAAAGCTTACACCTACACATCTATTGAATTCATTCTCTCAAAGTCTAGTGAAAAATGGTAAAAGTAAACTGTGTAAAGAGTTTACTGATATAGATGGTTACTTGATTACAACCATTTTTAATTTTTATTTTAATTACATGCAACTATGCATGACCTAACAATTTATTTCTCAATAAAACAAAAAGAATTCTGACCAGTCAAATTCTTACAGCGTTATAACATTGATGTACCCATTTCAAAATGTCAAAAATACGAGTTTCAATCAAGAAGTACATCTGTGACGATAAATTCCAGAAGTTGGTGTGATTCCATGTTTATAGAACCCCAGTATAGTGATTGCTGCTACAAACATTTGTGACTTTCATCATTTTGCATCCTCAGTGACGATGCATGCAAACAATCTGAATATAGCCAGAAAATTTAAAAACTTTTTTTTTCTGTAATGTTTTCTTATTTTTTATTCAGGAATCTTCCTTTTTGTAGTACAGTCAAACCTGTCTATAAAGGACAGTCAGTGGACTGAGCCAAACTGTCCTTTATAGACAGGTGGTCTTTATATGGAGGTGGCCTAATTTATTCATTTAATCATGAATATTAATTAGGGCCGGAATTTTAAGGGAGATCATAAGCAATACATAAAAACAAACCTACAATGAATAGGTCTTTTTTAATAAAAGTCACTCATTTTCATCTGGATAATTATAGCTTTACTTTTTTACTACAAATTATATCATGTAAATTCACTGAAGCCAAGTGATTCTGCCCATGGATTCATTGGTGTATTTAATGCATAAGAACGATTGTCAACGATCGGCCGCATTGACGTTTCGTTTCAGCTCGGACTTTCACACTCTTGCCAAGCAGTCTTATTCCCCAGTCTCTTACACATATTCCATCACAGGCGGTAATCAGT